ACTTATTATGCAGCTTGTTTATCACTCAGATGTAGAACAACTGTTATACGTGAGAACCAGATGCCAGACAAGTTTGCAAGAGTAAAACGTATGTAAGAGCTAAATATCTAAAACTCAACAGGTATTATTTCTGTTATATAAGTGTCATACAACCGCGTATCAGGTTTTTTATACGCTTATTGGCTTTTTATTTCCTTGCCGACAGTATTTTATAATAATTTTATCTATTACCTTGAATCCTTAAGCTCTCAAATAACTCCTGATCTGTGGGCACTCGAGTGCTGCGACATTTGCTTGCGCTCAAGTGCATATTAAACAATAATTATTGAATTCTAATGCAAATCGCAAATCGAGCTCGAAGTGACTCAAGTGGCTGGCCAGGATGCTGGAGCGGTGGCAGGCGCTGGGGCAGGGGCAGGGACGGGGGCGGGGGCTGTACGCAGCTCGTCAAAAATGAAATTTATAGACACGGCGCAAAGTGGTAATGACAATCGGCCGGCGCTCAGGGTCCAGTTCGTGGGCATAATCACAGCCAAAGGGCGTTAGAGGAATGTGTGTGAGGGCGGTGACCGGGCAAGTTGTCAACATTTATTACACACACCAACACCAACACACACACACACACATACACACGCAGCGCTTGATTATGCTGCGTACTGTTTTTATGCCTGCAGTGCGACGTGTTGACGACCTAGATGAGGTTTGAGTTTTGGGGTTGTTGCGTTTTTTCTCTGCTCTTCTTTTTTATGCCTCAAGTGGACGGCGACGCGCTTAAGTGGCTACATGCCACCCAACCCCACCCATCTTCAGTAAGGCACTCCTCCTCGTTGCGTTTTGTCTCTTAATTCAATCGATAGTTCACACATGTAATCGCATGATTGGGGGCTTCCTGCTTTCTCTCTGTTTTTTCTTTCTGGCGTCTATTTTTATCAGGTTTGCATGCCGCACACGTAGCGGCGACATTGTAGAAGGGCGGGGCAGATTTACTTGTGCTGGTATTCCAATTTTTGCGCGCTGACTTTAACCTTAAATCGTTAAGACATCCTCAGCGGCCACTCACACAATTTGTCGCGTCATGCCTGAGGCTCTACATGCTCAACTCCCCCTTTTTTAGCCACTCATTAGCCTAATGAAGCGCTCCACTAGCCACTTTCTATGGCGCTTCAAAAGCTCATTAGTTCATTAGTTTACGCTTTGTCCGGCAAAAGTTTGCTGCTAAATATGCTCGTAAATCTCATTTGCAGGGCGAAGCAGCATGAAAAAGCCAAATTTATCGCGCCAAAGGACAAGTGCCAAAAAGTTTCGCCAACGCTTATCAATCATTGACGTATGTGATGCTGCGAGCAGGGGGGTGGGGGAAGGGGATAGGTACTCTTATGGTAGTAAAACTCTAAAAACTTAATATATAAAAGTTTTCATATCCTTGCAATTTGATTATGCGAATAAAAATACTTGATATCTTATCACTTATTTGGTAAATGCTTATTTATGATCTGGAAGAGATATTTCTTATAAATAATATAAAAGAATATATAAGCATATGTTTATAAATATAAAAGAGAATATATAATAGAGAATTTTTATACCCTCTGTGTCGCCATCAACACATATATTCCTCGTTCCTCTCTCTCTGTCCGTTTATATAAAACCGACTAAAGAAACTTTGAAAGTAATTCACTTCAGGTTCAGAATAAGGCTTTTCTTAACTCCCCTTTCTACCGCTAAATCAATTAATATACATTTTCAGCCTGGCCTCCGGTATGCCAAAATTTGGCAGGATGATTCTGGTATAGATATGATCAATTTATTGGACATCTTACTTTCATCCTTCTTTACCTTTATTTAATAAGTAAAGGCAAACAAATTGAATACCGTTTATAATTACTGAGTATATCATAACAATTGACTGATAAACCTAAAATAAAGTAAGAACTAATTTTTCTTAGTGCGGGCAAAAACTCATATCGAGATGTTGCGGAACTATGTATAGGGTATAACCGAGTCAAATACACACTCTCTACTTGGTTTTTATACGCAGACTTGCTCGTTTTAAGAAATATCTCTTTAAGTTATAGGTATCTAAAATAAGAACCCCAATATTTCGGGTATACTTGAACTTAAATGTAGCTCGAGATACCTTCTAATTAATTAAATATGCCAAACAGAAGATATTTATACGAAAAGTTCTTATATTTCCTGATTTTTATAGGATTATAATAGTTTCAAAAACCACCTAGTTGCATAAAGATATAGTTGAACTAGTTTGGTTGATTGTTGCTTTAGGCCATTTAAAGCAATCAAATCAAATCTGGGCTGTTGCATGCGCCGCTTTCATGCATAAAAAAAAAAGATGTGTAATTCGAGACTTCCTGCTGGCCACAGAGCCGTAGCCGGGGCCAGAATGACAAGCGTATAAGCAAATAAATAATAAAACCAAAAGAAATCCAAATAAAATGGCCACTTGGTGGACATTGACAAAGCAATCATTATGAAGCGCATATACATGTCGTCTATATATATATATACATATATATTCATATATGCGACAAATGAAATTCGTCAAAAATTCTTGCGCAACTTTATCGCGTTGTCGCCGTCGCGTTCTCCATTACATAAAGAGAAGCCGATGTCCATGGAGTTTTTATTTTAGGTTCGCTGGAACACAGGAAACTCACAAAACGCTGAAACAATAATAGAAATAGAGAGTGTAAGACTAGAAGATACCCTTTTAACGTATGTATAGCATACAATTGAGTATATCTTCGAATAGATCAAGATCATAAACGAAAAATTCAATTAATTTTATGTCCCATAATGAATGTACAATTCATTATATATGAATTAAAAAAAGGTGTTAAGAAGTTTAAAAAAATCAATACAGTTATTGTTGTTGGTCAATCTTAGAAAATGTTCTATAAGTTTTAGTAAAGGTGAAATTTTTCTAAAACTAAAGTTAAAAAATACTATAGAACCATTTCAAACATTTTCAATAAATAAAAAATGTACTCGCAAAGCAAAAAAGATTTAAAAAATATTCCACTGAAAATAGAAAATTATATTGAATACATAATAATTATATTGCCAAAATTATTTTTTTCTGATTCCGGAATCATAGATTTTCGTGTTTATTTAATGCATTTAAAATATACAATATATATCTAAATTAAATATTTTCGATCGATTATTGTCTTTTATTAAACTTTTTTCAAACTCTTCTCTTTGCTCAAAATGTAGTCTTCATATTTATTTAATTTCTAAAATCCATCTGTAAAGGTAGACAGACGCACATCGCCAATCTGACTAGGCATAGGTATAAATCATATGTAAATTTCATAGGGTAGCAGACAGCTTGCTTACACGCTGCGAAGCCAATTTTGATTAGTATCAAAAATATAAACAAATGCCCAGTCGGTGCCAACAGCTGGTCAAGAGAAATGAAAACAAACAATCCAAAAATTTGGCATCGAATATCGAAAAAGTTTTATTAATGAATACAAGAGCAAAGTTTGATCTTAAGCCTACAACTCGCAACCACTTCACCGAATTACGCTGAGGATCCTTCGCCCCTCCGGCTGCTGTTTATAAACGGAGACGTTGTTCCCTCTGTATCAACACAAACACAATCTGTGGATCGCCTGCTCGGGCATCTGTTTGGACATTATACGGACGCAAGTGGCCATCGATTGTTTGTTGACACAATTTTCGATCCAAGCAACTTGGGCATCCGCTGGAGATGCTGGAGCTGGATCTGAAGCTCGATTTGTTTAATTTAGCGTATCGGGTTTTGCCACTGTTGCTGGTGGTCGGTCGCGTATATCAATTGCCAACAGACCACACAAAATTAAGTTCCATGGAAGCTGTTGCATACACTATATCAATTTGGTATATGAATCCATTCCATATATATATATATGTATATATATTCATGCCTAGTTTGTTATGCGAAGGAAAGACAGATATTCAATTTATCAGTTTACTTACAGAATATAATTTCAATTCATGTACTCAATTTGATTGAGAACATTTAATCACGTTATAAGCAAATTGTCGCTGTATAAAATGATACTCGGTCTTAAGCCTAGACTAAGCATTGCCTGTTTTAGTATCTCGACCGAAGGTCGAATTGTAGTTTGTAACTAAGTATAGCCCAAACAAAAATCAGATTGTAATCCAAAGCGCTTATCATTGAGAAATTGATTACCTGAGTTAGGTGACGTCAATTATAGCTGCTATGTGCTCAATGTGATTCAATTGTGGCTATAAAGCATGAGCTATGTAAATTTACTACTTAGAGCTTGATATTGGGATAATAATCAAGGAAACCCTTCTAAAAATGAAAAATGAATGTATTCCAAATATAATATTATTATAATACCCCGTCTAGCTACCTTTTTTGGTTACTATGGCCATCGGCTAAGATCTCACCTAGCCTAATACTTTTGAAGAGGTTCTGCTCAGGAATTCGTGGGTTTCCAATTAAATATCTTAGAAAACGATTGTCATAAAAACTGATTATATCTTTTTTATAAGATTTCTTGGATTGCTTTTAAGTTCATATATTTTTGAGGTCACGTCAACGAGCTGTTTAGCGGGATTATCTAAATATTTCAAACAATTTAAACAAGTCTTTAATATTTTGCTTAATAAATGGAAACGGCAAAATTATATTTCCTCGAGTTACTTGGACGTTTTTTTTTGTGATTTTTATCAAGCAGCAAAATTGAAATTAAAATTATATATTTAAAGGTTCCTTGAGGAAATATTTATGCCCTAAAAAAAATTAGAACAAAACAGTACGCTCATCAAATAGAAAAGCATTTTAGAGTTAAGAACACATTCGAGATATGGTTTTATTTTTTGAAAGTTGTTTTTTTTTTGCATTTATTACTAAGTTTTATTATGCACACTTAATCTATTCACAATTGTTGTCGTATTCAGTATTGTATTCCTTAAACATTTTTATTTATTAATTTTTTTTTTTGTGTATCATAAAGACAGACATCGAATGTTTAGCTTAGAATTTATACAATTTGATTTGTATTTACAATATTTGTTTTTTTTTTGTTTTTCATTGATTTAATTACATTTATAGGACTTGGTTTTCATTAGTATTTTCAACTGTTTCAAGTGCTTGTGTTTAAAACATAATACAACCTTTAGTTTATAGTTTTTCTTATATATCTTTTTTTATTGCATTTGCAGGGTATTACAGGAGTGTGTATGCGTGTGTGTGTGTGTGTGTATGTGTATGTGTTTGTGATATGGAAACCAAATGAAAGCGTCTGCTATGAAACATGCTATACAGCTATTTAGTCTAACCCTATGTATAGGGTATACGATATTTTGGTTGTTGTTGTCATCTCTCACTTAATACTAGAAAAAACTAAAGCTATAACTAATCAACAAATAAGCGTGTGTTACTAACTCGTAATTTGTAATACAATGTTGCGATCGGTCGATTGATCATTAATCAGTAGCTGACAAAAATGTTTGTTTTATGTTTAAATTCCTTTTTTCTACAATTCATAATCAATAATTTGAACTAAGTGTTCGGGGTGTGCGATCTCCACTCTCTCTCTCTCTCTCTCTCTCTCTCTCTCTCTTTCTCTCTCTCTCCCTATACGACAGCCAATTATCAGCCAATGTTCGATTTAAATCGATTCGTATCGCATCGATCGATAACTTAACAAGAACTTACAAAATTATTTGGAAATATTTTATTGTCACAAATTGAAAGTGAAAACGATTTGTTTAAATGAATTCTGAGGTTTATAAATGCATGAAAATACCTTTTTTTGCAGTAGTAAATTGATAAGGGGGACGCTCTGAAATAATCCACATATGAAAATATTAATTAAATTATAATTTAATAACTAAATTTTAACAAGTTTTCCAAAACGTGGTTTAGTATGGAACTTATTAAAAGGCATGAAAAAAAATTCAAAAATATAGGTACACCCTATTTAAATATAAATATAAAAAAATGTTAAGGAAACCTGATATTGTTCCCTGCATTCTTTTTATTTATTTTTTAAGTTTTCTTTGAGCTATAATTTTTGGGAAAAGTTTATATAATCAAAGATGATTTAAAGTGATTTCATGTGTAAGCTAAGCTTCATATATTGTGTATTCTTTAGGCTTTTTTTTATTTTAAGGATATTTTTGGGAAATTATTTTGAATTTCTTTCTATCTTTTTTCAAGTTTTTAGACATTAGGGATAAAATGATTTTGAAAACAATTTTTGTAGACAATCAAAACTATAGAACAAAGTATTTATTTGTGGGCTAAACCATATTTTAATTTCTTGGGGGTTTGCTTGAAAATATATTATTTGAAAAACATTTTCGAAAAGATACCATAGTAAAATATGATATAATAGCAAATATTGTTAACGGGATATTATTTAGGAAACTATAGTACGGTCCCAGGGAAACTGTATGTACGAAATGTGTCTTATATTAACGGGATTTTGAATATGTAGTTCAAATTTGTTGGGGAACCCTTTTCACTTGTGGACTATTTTGGCGTCATTTACCAGATCAGATTAGTTAACCACCTGCTGTGGCGGCCACTGCGAATGCGGATGAGAATGCGAGGCACGATGCGGCGGCAGCGACTGTGACTGCGACTGAGGCTGCTGCTGCTGCTGCTGCTGCAGCGGATGCGAGTTATTTGAGGTGGAAGCCGTTGGAGCCGCCGCCAGTTGGCGTCATAGATAGAACTCCGGTGAGCTTTGACTGTCCGCGCCGGCGGCGGCGCCAGTTCTCTGCTGCTGGAGGCGCAGCATCAGTGCGTCGCGTTCCTGGCAAACGCGCGAATACTCCATCTTGAGTCGATGCAGATCCTGGTTGAGCTGGCGGTTGGCCTTCTCCAGTTCGTGGCGCTGATGCAGCCGCTTGGAGCGGCAATTCTGTGCATACCCACGATTCTTTAGCGTGCGCCGCTTCTGCTTCAGACGCACTACCTCCTCCCGTGGGCAGCCGTGCAGGCGTTTATTGAGCTCTCTCACAGTCAACGTGGTCAGCATGTCATCATTGATGCAATCCTCCAGCGTGGCATTGCTGTAGGCACCGGAGCAGGTGCGTGGCGAATTGTTAGAGCTACGCGACGAGCTCGCCGAGAGCGGGCGGCAGGGCTGCAGAATGGAGCGTACACAGCCACGTGAATTGGAGGCGCTGCTGGCTCCGCTGCTGCTGCAAGCTGAGGGCAGCTGTGGCCCACAATTGGTGAGCGTCTGACATAGGCTGCCGGGGGCACCACCGGTAACAGGGCCAGGACTGCCCGCATACGAGTTGGCGGAGTTCGAGTGCATATTAATGGGCAGCGCGTGCTCCAGACTGTGAAAATGATGATGGGCATGATGCGGGGGATGTTGTGCCTGCATATGCCTTGTCTGGGCATGATGATGATGGTGGCTCTGCATCAGCGGATGTCCATGATGATGATGTGCCGCCGCAGCGGCGGCATGCATGGCATACTCCCTTTGACGCTCCCACTCCTCGGCCTCCTCCTGTGTGCCGGGACAGGCAAGCGGACGCAAATCTAGCGGCTGTTGATCGGCACGCATCGAATTGGGCAGCCACATCATCTCCTGACTGAGACCCACGGCGGCCACATTGGCGCCGGGATTGGCGCGTCCGGCATGATAATGATGCGCATATGCCTGACTGGGGCAGCTGCTGCTGCCCGTGGGTGAGCCCACCACGGGTGGTGTCTCTGGCGGTGTGGAGGGCACGCCGCCAGGCACAGTAGCGGCAGCGGCAGAAGCGGCGGTGTTAACCAACACAGCTTGACCACCAACGGGATCGCCCACATAGCCCTCGGGCGGCGGGCTCAGCGGCTGCAAGCGCCGCTCGTCTATGTGCCACTGATGTCCCGAAAAGGAGCGCAGCTTTATGTGCGATACAGAAGCCAGCTGGGAGCCGTCAGCTCCGGCCGCTTCCGGTACAGCAACGGGTAGTGGCAGTGGCAGTGGCATTGGAGGCGGTTCCGTCTCATCATCCGCTGGCGGCTCAGGGCCATGCACTGTCGTCCATTTGGCCGGCTGTGGTGGACTGTGATCCTCGCGCTTTACATGCCCAATGGCGGCAACGGTCACCGGCGTTAGGGTTGTTACCGTGTTGCCGGCCACGCCTTCGCCCAAATGATCCAAATTAAATTCCTGCAGGTATGACTCGGCGATGGTGGGATCTTCCATTTTCATTGGATCGCCGGTTCACATACAACTACGGGTGGGTTGGGTTGGGTTGGGGCGGAGGGGGAGTTGCTTTAAGTTAACAGTTATCAGGGGGCACTCACGCACTGACACTGCTCCAATTTGGGTTTGGTTTAACTTGCTTATGGGTCACACTGCACTTATCTGGGTCTTAGCTCTTGCGTTAAAAATTTATAATTTGTTTGCTTAAATTTTTTTTTAAATCTCTCAAATTTGTGTTTAATTTTTCTGAATTTGGCGCGAGCGCGTTTGAATTGTGTTATTATGTTTTATTTCCTTCTTTTGCCGCTCGCTGCGTCCAGTTTCAAAGAGTTAACGGTGGCGACTGAGTCTGGTTCTAGTCGTATACTTGACTGCAGGGTGGCCCTGGCCACAGAATGGCCGCGACGCGCGCATCGCCTCAATTCGATGTATATGTGTGCGACTGTGTGTATGTGTGTGTGTGTGTGTGTGTATTAAAGAGCAACAACAGCTCCAAGCGCTGCCAGCTTGCACGCCATTCGCTGTTGAGCTCCTGCTGGAATTGTAAAAGCTTAGCCGCAATAACAACAACAGGCGCTAGCGGCGTGAGAGAGATTTTGGCACCCTTGCACCGTTAAATGTTTGCTGTCAGGCGCTCTCTCGCGCTTCGCAGAGCAGTTCAGAATGCCTCTCATCTTCTGCACAGTGGCACACTATATAAAAATAAAGATTAATTAAATTTTTTAAAGAAATTTTTTACGATTTTCCCGATTTTCTTTTGTGGTTTTTTTTTTCCTTAAGATGCCTGAATTAAGTCAGTTGAGCCGTTCACGCATTTTAGTCTCTCGAGCTCCATTTATTATAGAATATTTTGTTTTTTTTATACGTATAAATAGGCATATTCTTACTACTATACTTTGTATGTATATTTTTGTTCTATGGTATTTGTATTTTTATTGTTTTCGCTATTCTAATTTTCCAATAGTTGTAATAATATTTTTTCAACAACTTACAAATCATACTTTAATTAATGTTCTTTCTATTTTACCTTCGCTCTGCTCTTTCTTGAAAGCTTTGTTATGCTCTTCCTACCGATGCTTCGGCTATGTTTGTTCGCTTTCTGTTGACTTCGTCACTTGTCGTCGTTTGCTTGGCTTTGGTGGTGGCTGTTGTTGTTGCTGTTCTTGAAGTAGGCGTTTTTGAATTGCCATGGAGCGCATAAAAATGGCACACACACACACACACATGCACACACGCACACACGGCAAGCATAGAGCGCATGGTGCACACATATACAAGCTCACCTTATGCTGCGACGGCTCCGCCCACTTGCTGTTGACCATGGCTTGTATGTATGCGTGTGTGTTTGTGTTCGCGCATATTTATGAGAAACTACCACAGAAATTCCTACATATACTGACATTCCAGTTGGCTGGCAAAGGTTTGGTTGGCGCTTGCATTGGAAAATCAGCGCACGGTGTATAGCATCCTTTTGGGGCATCCATTGTTCCAGTTTTCCAGTGCAAAAGTCAATGGTAGATATTTTAGTGTTGATAAGTCGCTCGATTTGTTTTGTTCCAAGAACTCTCTACCATATAGTATATAAACATACACATGCACACGTATGTATGAATATATTGTAACTGTATTTGTGTTTGCTTTGGCTTGCCTTGTGCAAAGGATTTTGGGCTGGACTGCACAGGTGCATGCTGCTGACTCGGCATTAAATTGTCCCTACCTTCGACTCGGGTTTTCGGACATGGGCGTTGAGAGTTTTTTCCTTGTTGTTAGTGTGTCTCTTTTAATTTGATTCTTTTGCTGTGCAAATGTTTTGGTTGCCGCAACTAAACAGATTTTCTGTTCCGGTTATGTAATATTATTGTGAGCTATCCGAACTGGGTAGCTTTGTATTTTATGGTCACAACTTTTATGCAACAAGTTTTTTTTGCGGGTTGCGGGCGGGCGGGTCTTTTCGCCCATCGAGGGACACTAAATGTGGGCTAACAATTGAATACTGCTAAAATAGAAAGTTAGGCACAATCGGGCTTATGTTTAATTTATTATGGAATGGGATTAGTTTAGATTTGAGTTTCCGGAAACCCTTCCAGGTCTTTAGGCTTTCAAAACTGATGCGATTTTTATATGTCATATGATTTTGTTTATATTTTTTTTATACATAGCTTTGGCATATGAAAGTTATGACTTTTTTTAATAGATTTTTTTTAATTCTCAGAAAATATCTATCAATATCATTACAAACTCTAAGCCATATTACTTATAAACGATTGAGATGGTTAATTTAACACAATATTTTAACTAGTCTGCTTTAGTTTGACTTTTAAGCCTATAGCTGGGAAAGTTAAAATGTAAACATTTTTGATCTGTGTTTTCTAAAATCTTAACATAAAATTTGGTGTCTTGAGCATTTAAGGCCTCCGAATTATGCAGAAAAAAACATTGGCAAGCAATTTATAAATTCCGAATTTGTGAATATGCAAGAAATTATTGATTGAAATAAACTATGATATATAGGAACTTATGTTTCGAAATACAGTCGCTCGCTCTAATGAAATCTAATAATAGAATTTAGGCAGAAAAACGGATGTAAATAGATCGACAACGCTTGTTGATCAATAAAATATATATATACATAATCAAGTATATATGTATGTATCTCTATATTTAAAACTGACTGACTGACTGACTGACTGATTGACTGATTGGTGATCAACGCACAGCCCAAACCGTAAAAGCTAGGAAGCTGAAATTTTCACTGTAGTTACCTTATGTGTTTCGGGAAATTCCACTGGGATGTGTGGAAAAATCGCGAAAATCGTTTGTATGAAATTTTTTGTTTACCATCCGATCGGCCTCAAACTCATTTACAAAGATCTTCGTCCAAATTCATCTAATGGGTATTTTGCACTTTTTGGAAGATCCATCCCTCCTTCGTGGAAATGGGGGTCAAAGATTTAGTTTTAGAAGTTTTAGAGAAAAACGGTTGTATGAACGTTTTTTAGTTACTATCCGATCGGCTTCAAAAACATTTTCAAAGATCTTCGAGAGGTTTATTTATACGTGCCACGTTGAAGGTCGGGGATACTTGCTAGTATACTGTATGTGCTTTGAAATGCCTTCATCTTCCTCCTTCACATGGGTACAGGGTATTAAAGACCATTCTTAAATTTAAACAATTTTGATCTACAAAGACCTCCCTCCTAGATCTCCCTAACTATGATAAAACTGCACCGCCTTTATGTGGTTTTTCTTTGTGAAATAAACCTTAATTTGATTAATTCTTGAAAAAATAAATTCTTAGTTTTTTTAAGGGCTATGAAGAGAAAAATTTAGACTGGTTTAAGTTTCTTTAATTCTCACGACTGTCACTTAATTGGGCTTAAGAAGTATTTTACTACTCTAATCTTTGGTAAGCCGCAAAAACTGACCACAAAATCTTTTCATGTGGCAGCTGCTGTTGTTTTCCAAGCTCGTATCTTACCCTAAGACGAAAATCCAAACCCTCCCGGCCGTCTCAATGTAGTAGAAGGGGGCGAAATCGAAGTATTCCCCGCCAGCAGGAAACATAAAACAAAATCAAATCAACTGCCGCCTCGCCCAATTCATGTGCCATAGCACACACACACCCCGCCCACCCGCCTACCCGCCCACTACCTACCCCTGCCCCCCGCTCGAGGGCAGATCCTTTGGGCTTGGATTGCTGTGCCATTGAAGCTTGTCAAAATTAAATTGAACACAATCGAATTATACTCCTGAGCATGCTCCATTTGGTTTTTTGTTTGGATTTTTTCCGCATACCCTATAATCGAGAGGGTAGTTTGAGGCGGCGGCAGCTCTGTAACTGTAATTCATTTGATCTCTATAAGAGTCATACGCAGCTTATATTATATTAGGAAATATATAAATTATATATTTAGGTCATATTTTTAACACGTTTATTTAAGTGTGTTGCATTTATAAGCTGAAATAATGTAAAGCAATCGAATTACAAATACAAAAGTTATTCAAAATAAGAAAATAAAACAGATTATTTATCCCGGATTTATTTCATTTATTTATACTTTATAACAATTTTATATTAAGCACAGCAGTTTATCTGGAAATTTTAGCCATATATATGGCTATATTTGAGTATGAATTTCGAAACAGAGCATCTCGTGGCCGAGTCACGCAAGTTAAATGCATTCAAGCTGGATTTTTTTGCTCATTTGTACCCATTTGGCTTCCCGACTGACTCGAGACTGCGTCCAGGCTGCTGTGATTTAACCGTTGAGGTTTCTGTTTGGCTGGACGAGAGTCAACATTTATTTCGGATAGACAACTGCAGCACTTAGCCATATTAAAAAGGGTTAAAGGTGTGCAAATATTTGCCAGCGGCCAATTAAAATATTGTAATAATCAACGTCAGCCAAGGGAGGATTCGGGGGCCAGGCAGGTGGCGCCAGGACACGTGTGTCTGTCTGTTGGCCTGGCACTTGGATAGCAGGAGAGATTGGGAATTGTGAGCTCTAGCTCTTTTATTTACATTTAGCCCTCATCCCGAAAAGTATGCCGCGGTTTATTTCTCGCATTCACAACTAATTCGCGGCTCAAGTGCCGCGACTTTTGTCTGTTGACTTAGACTTAAGACTAGAGATGGGCGCGTGTTGGATTTTTCTAGCACGATTTTTCGGCATTTATTGGTTTAACTGAGCTGCTTGCATTTAAGCAAAATCCAATCAACATCGGTTAACAATGTCATATAGCTATCGAGATATCGAGAAAAACTCAATTACGTTATTCTTTACCATTCTCCTCACATATATAAAAGCCCGTGCATGTTCGTGTCACGAGAGAAAAGCCCGACACGCGCCCAACTCTACTATGTGTGGTTGTGTATGTGTTTGTGTGCATGTGTTTTACCCATTGTCATACGCTATATCCTGTCAAATATTTGCATGACGAGTCCTTTCAATTGCATTTCAATTGATTCCCGCATATTACGTGAATGTTTATTACGCCGGATTAGGCAGCATTAAAAGCGCATAGTTGTCCTCGCATGTCCTCCGCCTGGATCTTCAGTCTGCCATATGATGCGATTGATTGTCATCCAGTCAACCACACACACATACACATACACATACACTCACACACACACACACACACACCACGCAACATCCCCTAACCCCACATTCAGCGCTTCATCTCCTGGAGTGCACTTTAAACATGACGAAATATCGTGTTTTATCACAAATAATTTCTGGTAAATCAACAGAAAATCGATGCAGACTTAACAACGACTTGTGCAAAAATTTACATTGCCATCCCCTCGGCGCCGTCGCCCCCCTTGCACTCTCGTTTCCTTTTTTCCATGTGAGT